AATTTTTCATTTATCCACACATAATGTCTAGTACTAGTGTGTGGGCTGCTACATGTCAATCATATCTTCATAGAATTTCATTAATTCAAAATAAATTTTTGTATTTCTCAAACAGACTTTCTTCATCTGCTCCTCTTTTTAGAAAACCCTGAATCTTGTTAATGTGAATATATAAAACACATCTCTGTATGTATAAGTGTGTATATGTGATTAGTGATTTACCAGCTGCTGCACTCTGACATTCTTAAATACAGAGGACCTGTTTATTGGACTACCAGCAGCTTCAGTCCATCGCTGCACTCAATACTTTTAATTTCTAACAGTATATTTATTATATTTGTAAATGATTGTATGTAACTTGTGTGTCCGTGCTGCTAACCTGTTGATGTTATAGGGGAGGTGACATTTAAACTTTACATTATTATTATTATTATTATTATTATTATTATTATTATTATTGTTGTTGTTGTTGATTCTATTTGTGTACAAATAAAACAAAACCCTGCCCCTAATCATGCAAACAGGTGAGTTATAGAAACGTCCTCCCCCTGTACAGGTGTCATGAACAGTCTGTACATCAGGCTATGGAGACTGACTCACCACTGCCTCTGCTGGACGGCAGAGGAACTACAGAGTTTAGCTCCTGAAATTAGAAATAATTTCATATTTTTCTTTAACACAAATGATGGCTGTGATATTTTCTGCCTATTACTTCAGCAGCTAAACTAAAGTCTCTGTCCCGCTGCCTGAATTAGAAATGTGCTGAAAGACAAAGTTTGTGAAGGGGCGTGGCTAAAAACCCTTCGAGGGGTCTGCTGTTTCACCCTGATCCGGGGGGCAGAGAAACCAGCCGATGAGTAAATTAACCACAGGAAGAGAAGTTAATCTATCACAAACAAACCCCATTAACTCATCTAATCTCCTTTTTAATGAATGTCCCGTTAATCCCATTCCCCCGCCTGTCTGAAGACTCTGACACTCACATCCAGCTGTTTGCCTCATGTTTGCTCTCCAGCTCTTTGTGAATGGCTCAAACACTCCAGCTGACACAATGGTGCCATAAAAGGCCCATTGAGGGGTTCTGTGAATGCAGAGTCGCCGGGAAGGCCGGCACCGCTGCGGCATCAAAGGGAGGTCACGAGGGCGAGCAAATACTGCGAGACAAAGAGAGGGAGCTGAATGGACGCTCAGATCGCAGAGGGCTCATTCCCCCAAAATTGGACTTTTCCGATTTCTGGAATCAAAGCTGAAGCTCGTTCGCTGAAGATGCGCATGGATCATATTATCCAACACACGAAACCTAAACATCAACTGACAGTCGTGGGTTACTCGCTTACGCTCCCTGGGATCAGCTGACAGCGACGCTGCAGAGCGCCCTCTGGTGGACAAACTATGCAACATCAATGATAACGTGGATGTTTTTTTTCCCGTCTCTTCTTTACTTTTTAAATTTTCATTTATCCATAAAGATCTGCAAATAGCCGAGGTCAGCCAATATTTCACTCCCAAACTGCCCAAAAAAAGCTGCGATAAACAATTTTCATCGTTGAGTCGATTTTTGAGGTTCTCGATCAGCTGATTAAGTCCTGAGCACGACCTGATGATCAGTAATAAGAACAAACTGGAAACAGATTCAGGCCGTTGTGGTTTCAGGTGCTGTTGAGCAGGTTAGGGACTCGTTTAAACAACTATTAACATATCTTTATTTTCACGGCACATTCAACCTGCAACACACGTGTCTGTGTCGATCCTTCTTCTTCTGCATCAATAACAAAGTCCTGAGAGGAGTCACTGAAACTTGTCAAACTTTAGTCAGAGCACGGCCCGAGAAATCCCCACAAAACCAGAGATCGTGGTTTAGACGCTGTCCTCACGTTCACACCTGAGTCGGCAGGTACGCCACGAAAAACCATCTTCACGTCGTCTTCACGTTCTGGGAGCGGAGACCAGAGGAAGCTGAGGGAGCAGGTACAGCGGACATGTTTCTGTGCGTTCGGGGTCAGAGGTCAAAGCAGAAGGAAGCTGAAGCCTGACGATGACCCTCGACCTGCGCCAGATTACACGCAGAGCGGGAAATGATGAAACGGGGTGAGAGGCTGGTAAGCGGTCGGCCCGAGCCTCACTTTAATTCTTCTTCAGTGTATAAAGCAGCACAGACTGATGCTTCTCCCTCGCAGGTCTGAGCTGCGAGCAGCGCTTTGATTTCTGTGCTGTCGTCGGCGCTCTGCTGGGCTGCGGTGGCGTTTCCACAGTGAGTCACGCCGCTGCACAGAGGCCTTCTTTATGTGTCTTAGATCAGATCCTGCTTCCCTCGTAGCGTTCGGTTTGAGCTCCAACAGTCGGAATCATTCTTCCGGCCTCCGCCGCTACGTCCTCTTATTTCTGTCACCGCGTGCTCATCAGGCTTCGTCTTCCTGTTTTCCTCTTTTGTCCGTCGCGCTCGGGGTGAAGCACCGCCCCTGAAGCGCACACAGACGCTGACACACAGCGCACATTTTTCTGTCATTCACTTTGTGTAGTGAGCAGGAAAATGAGGAGGAGGAGGGAGGACTGTGACCTTAATAGGAATGAGAGAGGGAAACTGACGGAGCTGATGTGATGGAGGCAGCGTGCAGAGTTTATCAGGCCGTGTTGATGTTGTCGGTGAATCTCATGTCTACATTACACCTGCACAGGTACACAGCAGCTCTCACGCAGCACGCTGTCTGAGCGTGTTCGCTACTGCTGACCCGCAGCTCTGTTTTCAGCAGTGCTGCAAACTTCCTGTTCAAATGTTCCAGAATAAAAGTCCAACAGTTTATTCAAACTTACAAAAATAAGATTTAAGCGTGACCTCGGTGCTGGGGCTCACCTGAGGGCTCAGGTCGAGCAGATTTCTGTTGCACGCTGCTGGTCGTTAAAGTGACTTCCTGCTGCTGGCTGACTCTCTGCTAGGTCACATGACACTTTATTGTTAGAGAGTTTACGGTGTCTGTGCGCGGCCATCCGTGCACGCCTGCCTTCAGATAAAAGGTAAACATACTTCAGACGGTGCTCCAGATCAGAGGTTTTAAATGTGCAGGCTGGGCCCCACGTTTACAGGTAGCACTGCGTGTGTGTGTGTGTGTGTGTGTGCGTGTGTGCACGTTAATGATAACCGTCACGTTGGTGTGTGCAAAGTTTTGGGGGTTTTCCAAACACTCGGTGAGTCCGCTGGCACCGTGACGTCCAAACCACATCAATAGCAGGAAGAAAAGAACGAGCTGCAGCTGGAACTG